AACTGTACATTTTCTAAAATTTTTAGACATAAGTGACCAGGTTTAAAGTTGTTGATTTAATTAATAAACATTAAAAATTATGATTGCTCAGTATTATTATTTAATAAATAAAATTATTACATTACACTAAAAATTTTACATCAAAATAATATTACACTGAATTATACTGTAGAGTAATTTAGTAAGAATTATCATGTTTTGTTATATGACTGCAATCGTGAACTTTTTGTTATCACTTGTATTTTGAAACCTTAGACATAATAATAACTATTATATTAAATCTAATCACAAAGTTGTGTATAAATAATAAATTAATTAATCTAATGGACAAATCGATGAAACCTTAAATAAGTAATGTAATAATATACTGTATATAAGTGCTTACACTGGTTCTGTTAACTCGTAATTTTCGGCCATTTAGTTAACAAAACTGATAAGTTAACAAAAGTGAAAATCACAAAGAACTTGGTCGAAATCTGCCTAAGCTTACCCCCTGATAATTATGATTGGATTTTGATGTTCATTAAATGAGGAGTCCGAATATATAATTTATATTGACCTGGGACTTCGGGTTCGGCCACAGTGGCCACTTTTATCGGGAATTTTTGTCTACATAAATGTGCAAATGTGATATATCAATTTTGTAGAGAATTTTACACTGAATACGATTTTATATATGAAATTCAAATAAACATAATTAATATTCATTTGCGAGTTAGAATAACGGATTTATATAGTCCTAAGACCTCACTTTCGGGTGCTGTTACAAGTTATATCGGGTAATTTTGTCAATATAAATATGGGAATGTGATATATCAATTTGGTAGAGAAACCAACATAGAATATGATAATATAAAACATATTTTGAAAAGCTAAAGATTTAACCAAAATATTGTGATTATTCATATTTTTACATACTAAATTGGCCAAATCATCATTAAAACCTATGTTAATTCGAATTTTATATATACAATACAATCTTATTTAGTGAAAAATTCTCTACACAATTACATGAACACATTTATGTGAAAAAAAATTTCCGATAAAAGTGGCCACTGCGGCCGAACCCGAAGTCCCTGGTTAATATAAATTATATTATGGACTTCTCATTAGATGCACTTTCATATCCAATCATAATTATGAGGGGGTAAACTTAGGCAGATTTCGACAAAATTCTTTTTCTTATTTGAAGACATTTTAAAACAAGTAATAGATAAATAATTTTCACATTTTTAAAAAACTAAACATTTATAATAAACTTATGATATGAAAACTCGTGTAAAATGTGTAAAGAATTTTTATACCATTTGATAGTTTTTGTTAGGAAATTGTGTTAACAAAACTAAATCAAAATTTACATTGCTTTATATGGTTTATGTTTAGAAAAGTGTTAACAAAAAGGGGTTGTTAACAAAACTAGTAGTTAACAAAACCAGGTTATATTTAACATTACAGTCTATTGAAATGACTTTATGTTTTAAGATTTTGTTAACAAAACCGAAGAGTTAACAGAACTAGGGGTGTATAGAACCAGTGTAAGCACTATAGTTATAAAAATATTATACCGTACTTGTAAAAGTAATACATAAGAACTTACTTGTTGGTAAAACATTAAAAAAATTTTGGATAAAATAAAACTTATTTAAATTAAATAATTTATTTAAATATAAAATTTTATGAATTAAATTATACAGTATATCAATAGCAAATGTATATATTTAAATTATTTATGTTTGATATGATTTGATGGTAAGTCGAGAATCTCCTTGAGTAGTGGTCCACACAATTCTGGCTTAACTTCTCTGAAGTTTTGTTTATGCAATTCATTCAATGTTTTCAAGATTTGTAGCATATCTGAAATCTTTGTGAATTTGTTCTCGCATTCAGAGCCATATTTCATACGTAAATACTTTTGAAGCAAATACAGATATAACTGTTGCTGGAGCCTATTATAATTTAAACTTTAAATATTAAATTACTTAATTACTTCGTTATTATCAATTACTTACTCGATCATATCCTTGTGGATAATGTTAGGTCTCTCCGGATTGAATAGTATAACGGGTATTAACTGTGAGAAATAAACATAAAATATTTCACATAATTAATCTACCTTTATAATTTTCCAAAACTATAATAATACCATTCCGAGTATATGTAAATCGGAGTCAAATTCCTTTGCAATTGTGTTCAAGTAGTACTTTAAAAGAGCCAGGAAGTTATACTTAAATCCATCAAATGAATTCAATTCGATCTTGCACAATAAATTATTGTCCTATGTTAATTTGCAAGAAGACATTGTTTATAAACAATGCAATTACTATAAATCTAGAAATTGTAAAAATGTATATGTCAAGTTATACCCCTTTGAAAATCCAACTCTCGGTTTTATGGTTAAAACCTAAACCTGCTTTTAATATATCCAGCTCAATGCAATTATACTTGACCACGGCTATTTGGTCATTCAATGATAGACTTTGAAAGGCGCCCAGATTCTTTATTGTGATGACAAGTTGCTGGAGGTTTATGTCAAACTTCTGGGCAGACTCTTCCATGAACTTATCGGGACTAATGGATATGGTATACATGGGCTCATCCATTGAATTCATAACTAGCATATGATTTTTCATAATTCCTTTGAACAAGGGTAGATTAAACAATTCGTGCAAACGTTTGCATTCATATTGGTTAAAGTAGTTTAAATCATTGAGTTTATCAATTGTGTTATTGATGATCATTTTGATAGCCATTTCACATTCATTACTTTTTTCGTAATTTTCTTTTACATTACCGGTGCTATGAATATCACTATTATATAAATCTAAAGAAAGTATTTCACTGTTTGTCTCATAGATACTTGAAGTTAGTGTACTATCCGTGATTTGAACACTATCTAATTTCTCAATTTCTACATTACTTACATAATTAGGGTTCTCTATTAGAACTGTATCTATAAATTTTGAATAATTATTTATTTCATTTATAATATCTGACACAATATTAACTGCTTTGTCTGAAGGCATATTAACATCATTTGAATCGAAATTTTTGATTGTCTCGACATAATCAGTGATCTCTTCAGAGTGCATGACATTTAATAAAGTATCAGTTTCTTGTGTATCGATATCAGGTAATGTCGAAAATGTTGAGCCATTAGTTGCTTTCCTCTTATCTCCAAACCTCTTGATTCTGTTCTCTTCTATTTGTCGTCTTCTCGACTCCTTTTCCTCGGCATTTAGTATCCATTCCTTCGCATACAATCATATATCAAAATAATTGTTATATTTATTACAAACTGATTGTTTCACACCTTTTTCATGCCGACCGTAAAGCACTTCCTTAACCGACATTTTATACAAAATCTTCGGGTCTTTTCGTCAATCAAACAGTCATTATTGAATCTACACTTGTATTCCTGGTCACAGTTTTAGATAATAGTAGTTATGTATAAATAATATCATATTATTGACTCATTTCTTACCTCATACTTGAAGGCAGTTCGTCTGAAGAATGCTTTACATGATTGACAAGATATGGCACAGAAGTTGTAGCCTGGTATATTGAAAATAAATTTTAAGTTACAGTTGAAAACCTTGTTATAAGTATGGTTTGATGTATAATTAAAATAAGTTATTTAGGTATAATAATAACATACCTTTAGCCAACTCGCCACAAACTGTACATTTTCTAAAATTTTTAGTTTAAGTTACAGTTGAAAACCTTGTTATAAGTATGGTTTGATGTATAATTAAAATAAGTTATTTAGGTATAATAATAACATACCTTTAGCCAACTCGCCACAAACTGTACATTTTCTAAAATTTTTAGGCATAAGTGACCAGGTATAAAGTTGTTGATTTAATTAATAAACATTAAAAATTATGATTGCTCAGTATTATTATTTAATAAATAAAATTATTACATTACACGACAAATTTTACATCAAAACAATAGTACACTAAATTATACTGTAGAGTAATTTAGTAAGAATCATCATATTTTGTTATATGACTGCAATAGTGAACTTTTTGTTATCACTTGTATTTTGAAACCTTAGACATAATAATAACTATTATATTAAATCTAATCACAAAGTTGTGTATAAATAATAAATTAATTAATCTAATGGACAAATCGATGAAAACTTATATAAGTAATGTAATAATATATATAGTTATAAAAATATTATACCGTATTTATAAAAGTAATACATAAGAACTGTTGGTAAAACATTAAAAATTTTTGGATAAAATAAAAATTATTTAAATTAAATAATTTATTTAAATATAAAAATTTTATGAATTAAATTATACAGTATATCATTAGCAAATGTATATATTTAAATTATTTATGCTTGATATGATTTGATGGTAAGTCGAGAATCTCCTTGAGTAGTGGTCCGCACAATTCTGGCTTAACTTCTCTGAAGTTTTGTTTATGCAATTCATTCAATGTTTGCAAGTCTTGCAGCATATCTGAAATCTTTGTGAATTTGTTCTCGCATTCAGAGCCATATTTCATACGTAAATACTTTTGAAGCAAATAGAGATATAACTGTTGCTGGAGCCTATGATAATTGATTTTAAAATTAGCATTGCCGTAATACTTAAACAACATCAATCTTATAAATTACTCAATCATTTCTTTATGAATTATGTTTGGTCTCTCCGGATTGAATAGTATTATAGGCACTAACTTATAGAAATTAATATAAACAAGCATAAATTAATACAAACAAGTGATTTAATTATTATTACTAATTAATACCAATTGTAAAATATGAAAATCGGAGTCAAATTCTTTGGCAAATGTATTTAAATAGTACTTCAATAGAGCAACAAAACTATACTTAAATCCATTAAGTGCCTCAAATTCTACCTTGATTAGTAGATCGTTATCCTGGTTATAATAGTATAAGAATCGGATTAATAAGAATTACAATAATAAATTGAAATACTACTCTCATATACATACCACTTTGAAAATCCAACCACCGCTGTCAGAGTTATAACATAAACCCGATTTTAAAATTTGAAGTTCAATACAATTATACTTGACCATGGCTATTTGGTCATTTAGTGTTAAACTTTGAAATGCGCCCAATTTCTTAATTGCAGCGACAAGTTCCTGGATGTTTGCGTCAAACTTTTGGGCAGCCTTTTCCATGATCTCATCCGAGTTAATAGTTATGATATACATGGGCTCATCCAATGAATTAATAAGGTTAGCATGGCGGTCTGTGATTTTCTTAAACATAGATAAATCAAACAGCTCCTTTATTCTTTTGCATTCATATTTGTTGAAATAGTTTGAATTGTTTAGTTTATCCATCGTATGATTGGTGATCAGTTTGACAGCCATTTCACATTCATTGCTGTTTTCATTATTATACAAATCCAATGATTTTTCATCAGTTGTCTCAGAGATATTCATTGATTGTGAGGTATCCGACATTTCATTGCTATCTAAATCCTTAATCTTAATATTACTCTCATAATTAGGCTTTTGTATTAAAATCATGTCTATATTTGTTGAATAGTTTTTGATTTCGTGTATAATATCTGATATTATATTAATATTATTGTGATTTAATGGAGACATCTCATCAATATTTGTATCCCAACTCTTGTCTGTCTCGCCATAATCACTGATCTCTTGATTCAGTGTGACATCTAATAAACTGTCAATTTCTTGGGGATCAGCACCTGGTGACGGACTAAATGTCGAAAAGGTTGAGCCATTACTTGCTTTCCTCTTATCTCCAAACCTCTTGATTCTGTTCTCTTCTATTTGTCGTCTTCTCGACTCCTTTTCCTCTTCATTTAGTATCCATTCCTTCGCATCCAATCATAAATCAAAATAAATGTCAAATTTATTTCAAAAATTGATTGAATGCTTACTTTTTTCATTCCAACGGCAAAGCATTTTCTGAGCCGACATTTCTTACATAATCTTCGGGTATTTTCGTCAATCAAACAGTTATTATCGAATCTACACTTGTATTTCTGATCATGAGTTGGACAACCTTTGGTTACTATTCATAAATATATCTCTTTAACACATTTCTTACCTCATATTTGAAGGCATTTCTCCGGAAGAATGCTTTACACGATTGACAAGATATGGCACAAAAGTTGTAGCCTGGTATTTTGAAAATATTGAATATTTAATTTATTTTCAATGATAATTTTTAAACAATTTGCTGTAAGATTAGTGTTTATCGTTATTGAATTTAGCATACCTTTAGCCCTTTCCCCACAAACTGTACACTTTCGTAGTTTATTTGGCATCGGTTACCACTTTGTTTAATTTATTAAATGTGTAAATTAATTGTTGTTCACTATTATTATTTAATAAATTTTATTATTACAATATACAGTACATTCTGTCACTAAAAATACACTGTATTATACTGTAGAGTAATTTATTAGGAATTATCATTATTTTGTAATTGAGCTGCAATAGTGTACTTTCCCGTATCACATAGTTTTGAAACCTTAGGAATAATAATAACTATTATATTAAATCTAATCACAAAGTTGTGTATAAATAATAATTAGATTAATCTATTGAGCAAATCAATGGAAATTTTCAAAGTAATAAAGTAGTCATAAAGATTAGACTTATAAAAAGTAATACTGCACTAGGAACGTGATACTTATTAATTAATTAAATGTATAGAATATTTTATTAATAGTCAAAAATAATTACAATTTACAATAAAATTATGGTATAACTAAGGCTTACAAAGACTTTTTGTATAATATTTGAGTATTCGGTATTTATGCATTACTGTAAAACTTTAATGTAAAACATGTAGATTCAAATATAAGTACAGTAGTAGATTATAGTATAACTATAATTTTAATCCAGATCATGTATGATGTGCTATAATGGCAGGTCGAGTATCTCTTTGAGTAGTGGTCCACACAATTCGGACTTCAATTCTCGGAGGTTTTGTTTTTGCAATTCATTCAATGTTTGCAAGTCTTGCAGTATATCTGAAATCTTTGAGAATTTATTCTCGCCTTCAAAGCCATATTTCATACGTAAATATTTGTGAATCAAATACAGATATAATTGTTGTTGAACTCTATTGTAAGTGATTAAAAAATTTTTACAGATATTGCTTTAAATATTATATTAAAATTATAGTTAAATCATTATGAATTATTTACTCGATTACATCCTTGTGAATGATATTAGGTCTCTCCGGATTGAACAGTATTATAGGCATTAACTGTTAGAAAATAATATCAATATGCGGTACAAATAAAAAATTATATTTAAATTAGATTTTTAATTGATAACATTTTATATTATACTATAATAATAAATAATAATACCAATTGTATAATATGTAAATCGCAGTCAAATTCCTTTGCAAATGTGTTTAAGTAGTACTTCAGTAAAGCAAAGAAACTATACATAAACCCATTCGTTGAATCCAATTTTAGCTTGAGGAATAAATTATTATCCTGTTTAAATTTAAGTATAAGGTTTACAAATAAGCATTATTTATAATAACTCTATTTGTATATAAGTTACCATTATTAACGGACACACACACATACACAAATTATTCAATTAGTCTCGTTTTCAGGTAACCAATATATACAAAATACTGTGATAAAATACTAATAATCTTGTACACATACTATTTTGAAAGTCCAATCCTCAATTTTGGAACAAAAGTATAAGACAGCTTGCACAATTTTCAGCTCAATGCAATTATACTTGATCATGGCAATTTGGTCATTTAACCTTAGGCTTTGAAAGGCACCCAGTTGCTTTATAGCGCCAACAAGGTGTTGGAGTTCTGTGTCAAACTTTGTGGCAACTCTTTCCATCAGCTCATCGGTGGTAACAGAGATGGTATATATGACGGAGTCGTCAAATGAGCTTGTATATTTAATATCATCGAAAAGTGTGATTCGTTTAATCCATGATAGACTAAACAATTCGCCTAAACGTTTACTTTCAAATGGATTAAAGTAGTTTAACTCGTTCAGTTTATCCATTGTATGATTGGTGATTAATTTGACAGCTATTTCACATTCATTTCTGAGTTCATTATTAGTGATTAAGTTGTGATCACTATTATACAAGTCCAGGGAAAGTGTTTCGCCATTTGTCTCATAGATACTCAATGTGTCCGACATGTCAGTACTATCTAACTCTTTAATCTCAACATCACTCATACAATTAGGTTCTCGTAGTAAATATGTGCCGATATTTGTTGAATAATGTTTGTTTAGATCTATTATATTTGATACATTATTGCTATCATTTAGCATTTCTAATGTCATCCCCAGAGTATCCAAATACTTGTCTTTCTCGCTATAATCACTGGTCTCTTCATTCTGTGAGACAACTAACAAACTGTCAGTTTCTTGAGGATCAACACCTGGTGATGGAGTTAATGTACAAATTGTTGAGCCATTAGTTGTTTTCCTCTTATCTCCAAACTTCTTGATTCTGTTCTCTTCTATTTGTCGTCTTCTCGACTCCTTTTCCTCTTCATTTAGTATCCATTCCTTCGCATCCAATCATAAATCAAAATAATTGTTATATTTATTACAAAACTGATTGTTTGAATACCTTTTTCATTCCGACCGCAAAACACTTCTTGAGCCGACATTTCTTACATAATCGTCTGGACTTTCCGTCGATTTGACAGTTGTTTCTAGACTTACATTTGTATTTCTGGTGACATTTACACAAATAATTAATAAATTATATATTATGGACACATTTCTTACCTCATATTTGAAGGCATTTCGTCGGAAGAATGCTTTACATGATTGGCAAGATATGGCACAGAAATTTCTACCTTGGTATTTATATATTGAAAATAAGGTATAATTTCACTAAATTGTTGTTTGGATTATTGATATTGAAGTATAAAAGTCATACCTCTGGCTTTTTCACCACAAACTGTACAGTCTTTCAATTTTTTGGGCATTGATTATCAGGTTTGAAAACACTTTACTAACTTTCGTAATTATTATTGTTTACTTTAATTATTACAATTTATTCATTAGTAGTAATTTATATCAAAGTAATATTACATTGAATTATACCGTAGTGTACTATTATCATTATCATACAGTATTTTGGTAGTGTATGAAATGGTGTACACTAAGTTTGCACTATGTTTTGAGACCTTGGCTATAATAATTACTATCATATTAAATCCAATCACAAAGTTTTGTGTAAATAATAACTAAATCAATCAAAGTAAACTTTTTTATAAATAACGTAATAAAGTTTTTATAAAATGACTATGCTTATAAAAATTATCTTACTTCTACACTTGGAGTGTGATACTTAAGGATTTAAATAACACATTGATTTTGATTAAAATGTCCAATTTAATAGATACTATATTAATAATAATATCAAAACATGATCTGTAAAAATAATTTACTTTTTAAAAAATTACCCAATGGGAAGTTTTGTACAATAACATCTGAGCATTCAGTATTTTATAAATAATCTTTAACACTAATATTTATCAATTAGTACATAAAAATTAATCAATTTTAATAAATAACTTATAAATCCAATTCATTTATGATGTGATATAATTGGATGGGAAGTCCAGTATCTCTCTCAGTAGTGGTCCACAGATTTCTGCATTTACTTCGCGAAAGTTTTGTTTATGTAATTCATTCAGTGTTTGCAAGTCTTGTAATAAAAATGATATTTTTGAAAATTTCATGTCACTATCGGCACCATATCTTATTCGTAAATATTTTTGCAGTAAATACAAATNCAAGTCTTGTAATAAAAATGATATTTTTGAAAATTTCATGTCACTATCGGCACCATATCTTATTCGTAAATATTTTTGCAGTAAATACAAATATAGCTGATGTTGAAGTCTATAGTGCACAATACATACTATTAATAATAATTTATCAAGGCATAATCATAAACAACTTACCCGACCATATCTTTATTAGTAATGTTTGGTCTCTCGGGATTGAATAGCACTATAGGCATTAGCTGTTCATAAAATCATTAAATTAACATATAAATAAAATAATTATCTAGATAACATTATATACCAATTCAAGAATATGAGGGTCAGAATCAAATTCAGTGGCAAATATATCGACATATTCACGCAAAATGGTGTACATATTTCTTTTAAACCCCTTTAGTACATCGGAAGTCAATATCACTGCATTTGTTTTGTCCTGAAATTAACAAAATACTGTATAATTATAAAAATAATAATTTCTAAATTATAGCTAACTGACCACATCCATAATATAGACCTCATTCTCGTGTCGATAAAATAGTCCCCATTTAAGCAACTGCACCTCAATGCAACTGTATTTGATCAGGGATATCTGGTCATTTTGACACAGACTTTGAAACGCGCTTAAACTCTTGACCCTTTCAACCAATTTAATAAGCGAGGTATCAAATGATGAGGCTGCCTTTTCCATGAGCTCATTCGCTGAGCTAAACATGATTTGTTTAAGTCGTTTAGGACCCGGGATCAATTGAAACATGCAAAGGCTTGTTAGCTCATTGAGACGTTTGATTTCAAACGAGTTGAAACAACTTATATAATTGATTTGATTTAAGGCGTTGCAGTGCATTTGGACAGCCAGTCGGTGCTTGCAGTCGATAATCTGGGTCTCATCAATCAATTCACCTTCGTTGATAATTAAAAGTTCCTTGCTTACCTCTTTCATACCACTTAAATATGATACCACTTTCATAGACTCATCACTGGTATCTGAATCAGTAGTAGTGGATTGTATTGACTCTATAGACATCTCATTATCATTATTACTGTTTGTGTCAATCGGTTCAGTGGTATAGAAGTTATCCATTTGTAGCAAATAATCAGTAATTTCCTCGTCATTGACTACTTCTTCGGAACCGCTTTTAATTGTCTCAGCATTTGAGGCATCAGATGATGGACTACCAGTCGACTCGTCGGAGGTTTTCTTTTTGATTTTCTTAAGTTTGCGATTCTCTTCAATTTGGGCTCTTCTGAACAGCTTCTCCTCCTCATTGAGTATCCATTCCTTCGCACAAAAAGACAATATTTGTTAAAATAACACAAAAAACTAATACGTTTTTTTATAAACACTTTTTTCATGCCGACAGCGAAACATTTCTTGAGTCGACATTTTTTGCACATTTTTCTGGTCTTTTCATTGATGATACAAATGTCGCCAAATCTACACTTGAATTTCTGTTTAAAAGATTTATCACTTAAATTAGCAGAGATTCGTGATTTTCTTGATTGCCTTTCACCTCATATTTGTAGGCATTCCTCCGAAAGAAAGCTTTGCACGATTGACAAGTAATGGCACAGAAATTATAGCCTGAAATATAAATGATTTATGAATATTTACTTTACAATTATAATCATAATAACTAGCTAATTATACATACTACAGAATTATATAATATTACTATATAGTAGTGTGTATTCTACATACCCTGAGCCAATTCTCCGCAAACGGAACACATTCTTAATTTATCCATAATTAAATCAATTAAGATTTTTATAAAATAATTTTATAAAATTTACTAAATCTAGAAAATGTTTAAATGTAAAATTATGTACAAAATCAAAATATTCAATTAAATAATTGTTTATTTACTGCATATTGTTTAAACATAATTTTACGCCATAACTGCAATAACATGTCACACAATATCAACTTTATTATCGTCTAACTCTGAAACCGTAGAAATAATAATTAATTATAAATGTTAATCTAATCAGTACTTGTATAAAAATTATTATTACTTTTATTATCTACCCGTCCAATCAGTGAGACTTTCTCAATGTCTCAAAGTTATTTAGTTTGAGAGCTAACAAACATAATAATTATTATAATTTGATTAAAAGTAATATACTTAAACATGTACGGAGTGTTACTACTGGAAAGTGCAATTGATTTATCTACACAAAACACCAATATATTATTAATATAAGTTATTTAAGGATTTATTTAATTCTGAAAAGCATGTTTATACAATATTTATATTATTAATATAAAACTACCATTTGTACTAACATTATTTAAACTGTGTGCCTAGGAGTCATTTACTAAGTTATCATAAAATGAAAGATATTTGAAATTTATTACCCTTCTTATCATTATATTATAGAAGATTGTATTATATTTAATTTATCATAAAACAGAATCTGTTTAACAGATATTTATAAATGATATTTACGATGAAACAATAGTGCAACATAGTGCATGTACCATATAGTACATTGATTTGCACTTTAAAAGATCAAGTTTATATTTACATAATCTTAAACATAAGATCTTTCAACAATCATATGATTTTAATAGTAACTCATTGTCACAAACCAAACAACTGTTTCCTGTTTTTTAATTGCACAGTATCAATAGTCTATTACAATTATTTTACAATTTTATTAGTTTTAATTTTGTTAATGCAGTTTATATTTACTGTTTAACAAAAATCTTAACTATTCTATTAGTATACATTACATATTATTATTAAAATACAATTACATAATTGATAATCAAATCATGACTTGATTAAATAATACTATAAACTTTAATTTGATGGCACATCGAGTATCTCTCGTATGAATGGTCCAGACATATCAGACTTGGCAATACTTCTCCAGTTTTCTTTATGCAATTCATTCAATACGTGAATGTTTTGTAGAATATATAATATATAAGAATATTTAGTCTCGTATTCAATGCCATATTTTATTCGCAAATAGCGTTGAAGTAAATACAGGTATAACTGGTGTTGAATTCTATAAAAATTAATATAATTATTAATAACTATTTATATTTTTAATATCATAATTATCGATAGTTTACTCAATCATATCCTTTTGAACAATGCCTGGTCTCTTAGGATTAAACAGTAGTATAGGCACTAACTGTTAATAATCAAATAAAATTAATTGTAACTTTATATTATAGTACCAAGTACGGTACTAATTAAATTAATTACCAATTCAAGAATCTGACGGTCAGAATCAAGTTCATTTATAAATGTCATTAAATAAGAGTTAAGTGCTGGATAAATATTTTGTGTAAAACTTTTAGTTAAATCCAATGTAAGAGCATATGAATAATCTTGGCCCTATTATTTGGAAATATGCAAATTTTGTAATTAAATAATTAAACGATCCTGGTATTAATACTACCAATTCAAGAAACCAATATGGATTATCATGGTTGTAGAATATAGCCGCTTTCAACATTTGCATTTCGATGCAACTGTATTTGATCATGGCTATTTGGTCATTGAGGCACATGCTGTTAAATGCACTCAATCTCCTTGCTAATTGTATGAAATTATTAGTACTTTTATGAAATATCGTAGCACTAAAAGCTCGCAACTCATTGACTGTCGTGAACACAGACTTGATTTTGGGACAACTCTGATGTCTATACATATAATCACATCTCAATAACTCTTCCAATCGTTTGCATTCAAACTCATTAAAACTATTTAAATCATTAATCGTGTTCATTGCATTTGAATTGATTAATTGCACGACCATTATATCACTATTAGAAGTACTCAATGGATCTGATGTTTGTGATAATATAGATACTTCACCACCAGTTGAATCCAAAACTTTAACTTTGTTCACATTATTTGTTTTATCATTGCTATCATAAGCGATGTCCAGAAAATAGTCTATTATTTTCTCCTCATCTAAGGTCTCAATTGAATCGATATCTGTGTCCGAGTTTAAAGTTTGCGTTAATTTGTCAGCAGTTGTGGTACTCTTAAAAGCATTTTGTCTCGACTTTCGGTTCATTTCGATTTGAGTTCTTCTCAATTGCTTCTCCGTCTCATTCATTAGCCATTCCTTCAGTATTCAAACGA